TCATGTAGTATTTTTGCATTATAACGTAGTTCATGTCGTATTTGGCACTGAAAATTTGTTCGGGTTGTATTAGGCACGATTGAAATTGTTTGGGTAGGAATATGTCCTTTTCCCGATATTAATTCTAGATTTGATTATTTTATTAGATGATAGAAACCTTTTTTGTTTTTTAATTATTTTATTTAAATATATAATATTTTTTTAATAAATGACTTTTTGACAATTTGACTCTAAATATGATCATATTATATATTTGTATAATATATAATATAATCTGAAACTAAATAATTATGTTTTTGGTTTAAAACTGAATAAACTGAAAACCGATGGTATATAAACCAAATTAAACTGAAATAAATATTGATTTAGAATAGTAGTAATATTTTAATAACCAAAATACCAAAAAATTGAACCGAACCGAAACTCGATATTCGGATTGAACACCTCTAATCCAAATGAAACCGAACTATTGTTTCATTTTCTAAAACATAATAAAAATAATAACTTCATCCCGCGCAAGACGCGGATCTTATCCTAGTATTCAAGTATTGGAACTTAAATAAATACATTGAAACTTAATTTAATTTTATTCTGGTATGATATCTGAACTTGAATGATAACCAAACCCAAAATGAGTTCGGTTTCAAAATGGGTTCTTAGATTAAGTTATAAAATGTACCCGAATTCAAAGTCTTATGAACCGAATCGAGACCTGAACATATATAAAACCCAAATGGGACTTAGGAGGCTGAACCCAAAATCCGAACCGAACCCGAACCTATCAGGAAAGCCTAGCTTATGCAATTCAAAGGGCCGTACTCTAAACCTCTCAGTTTATTCATATTTTAGTTACTAAAACACTGCAACTCTTATCACACAGATCATAGGTTGGTCAATGTGGTTTTCAGAATACATCTCCGCGGAAAAAAAATGGGCCAAAGATGAGAGTATCCTCAAGGTTGAAGACTATTCTCTTAAGCTTAAACTGTTTTATGATTTCTTAAACTGAATCTAACATCAAGATTTTTGCAGGCAGGTTTTAATCAATTGAAGGACTTCCCTGCCACATTCTGGATGGGTCTTTTTGCCGAAGGAACTCGATTCACTCAAGAAAATCTTGAAGCTGCTAAGGATTATGCATCTCTAAAAGGCTTTACCATGTCCTGGCAATGTTATGATCCCTCGTACAAAGGTGAGTTTTACCAGAACTTTTGCTTTCTTTCAGGTAATTATATAATTTTTTGCTTCACTTGTATTTTACATGCATGGTTTGCAACATCAGGGATTTGTTTCGGCGGTAACTCACATGCGCTCCTTTGTTCCTGCGATCTATGACTGCACGTATACAGTTCATAAGAAACAGACCACACCAACACTGCTTAGGATGTTCAGTGGCCAATCATCTGAGGTTAAAAATGATTTCATCAATGTGTGAGTTATATAGCTCTCGCTTTAGATTGAAAAGTCTCTGTTTCTTCTTCTATTTTTTTTTGAAGGTGAATTTGCAGATTAGACGTCACCAAATGAGCCAACTGCCAGAAGATGCAGATGGCATTTCACAGTGGTGCCAAGATCTGTTTGTCGCCAAGGTTTAACAAACCAATACAAATCCTCATCATCAATTTTTTTTTCATTTGGTATCTCATCTCTTTTGCAAAAGCAGGATGCTCAACTTGAAAACTACTTCACAACAAATGATGTGTTCAGCGACTTGGACGTTCAACAAGTTGGCCGGCCAATCAAACCATTGATCGTAAGACACATAAAAACACTAGCAGATTATTGGAAACTCCTGACTGTTGCTACAACTAATCGTCATGGAACCGTCTGGAAACAGGTGGTATTAACTTGGTTCTGTCTCCTCATATACGGCAGCTTTAACCTACTTGAGTTGTTCTCCATGGTGAATATCATCTGTTTCTTTGTCTTTTTCTTGGTGGTTGCAACTTTAACAGTGCAACGTCTGATCCAAGCCTCCCAATCAAGGGGCACAGTGCCTAACAACCTCTACTAGAACTCTCTCCTCCAGACAGAGACTTCGATTATTTTTCTAATGAATTACTCACCTGTATATTACTCATGGTTTTTCCGAGCCACGAGCGGTATGTTAACTGTATAGCACATGATTTGTATTTGTTTTGACATTGTTATTGTTGATAATTGAACTCAGAATTTGGTTATTGTGGCTGTGCCTTTGAAACGGGGGTGAGATTTCATGTTTATTTTAATTGTGCTGGCCAGTCAAGGAAAATGTCTGTAGTTATGTGATGGGGGATGTTGATGAATCGAAGTGTTTATATACCCGTTTATATGGAATGTTACGATTTCGTAGTGAAGGTGTAACTCTCATTAACGTACTGACATTAATTTAACCCTTCTGAGAATTTTGAATTGGTTTGATCGAAGCTTACAGATTGTTCAACTATTAAGTATACTAGAGACTTTTCCAGGGCTACGCCCGGGTAATTTATACAAATATCCTTACATTCTAATTTATATATTAGATCAATGTTATCTATATGGAAAATGAATTAAGATTTTTGTAAACCTTAGTTTTCATTAAGTAAATTTTTTAATTCATTATATTTAGATTATTGTAGTTGTTGGAATAGGTTAATGGATATTTTATTATTTAAATATTTGTGTTCGTTTCAATTTTGTTTAACATTAGTTTTTCGTTTTATTTTATGTTACGTGTCAACTGTTATTTTGTGGTTTTCTTTATTTTTGTATCATATATTTCTATTGAAACTGTTTCTGAGATTAGATTCATCTCATTCTCAATATGGTTGACTATATTTGCTAATATGATTATAGAAATAATTTTAATATTTGGGTAGGCCAGTCGTACATTTCTTCTTTGGTGTTGCCTTAGATTAATGGGATCCCAAAGCTCAAATCCTTCCCTTCACAGGAAGCAGTAAAAAATTCTACCAAAACCTTGTTATCATTACAAAAACAATAGATAGAGAGTATGTTCTTTTGAATATTATATACACATAAATATTGTTTTGGCGCTATGGTCGAGTAAGAGTAGATAGGAAAAGATAGCAGTATGAGATATCGATAAACTTGATCCATCGCCAGTAAGTTCCAAGTCAGCACCATTGTAGGGTTGATCAGTGGTGCGAAATAAAAAAAAAAGAGTTAATTTGAGGATTTATCTAGTTATATATTTGTAATCTCAGACCGTCAACAATGGCCTTATTGTTGGACGTATGTAGATTGGAAATTATAGTCTTTGAAGTTACTGTTTGGTTTTAAATTAATGTATTAGCTTATGTGAGTTATTTGTTTTTAATTTATACTGGGGTATGTAAATTATTTGGAGGGCCTTTGATGGATGTGAATAGGATGATGAGTAGCGGTTCTTAATGAAATGATTGTTGTCAAGTTTAGTTTGCGAGTCACTCAAATATAGAGTTTTGGAATTCAACTATCTAAGAGATTTGTCTTTCTAATCACGTGGTTCCTTTTTTGGTCCGTATTAACCTTTGAGGCTGTATTATTATTATTATACGTGTCTACTATTTAGGCAGAATATCATCATCGATTTTTCCAAAAAAACAAAAAAGAACCTCAGAAAATGGTGGGAACATTACAGTTCTATGATTCAAAAAAAGAAAAAGTTCTATGATTCAGAGTGTCATTTTCTATTAGATCCATTTGATTTATGTGTGCAGATATTGTAATTTTATAAACCGTTGAGTATTTACCTTATAGGTGTTAGAAAATAGAATATGTTTTACTGGTTAACTGTATGTTTATTTCATTCTTTCATTCCCAGCCAACCATTATTTTATACACGCATTTCATTTTAGTATCTTCTTATTTTTTCTGACTAAAGTTCATTGTAGTATCGGTATGAACGTTTATTTAAAATCATATTTATTTAACAATTTCATTCTTTATATTTCACTTTAGTATAAGAATGAAGTTTATTTGAAATCATATTTTCTACCTCCAAGAAGAACACACCTTTAAATGTTTGTTAATTTAAGTTTTTATCTGTAATGATAATTGTGTGAGAAACTCCTTCAAATTTTTAATTCAGATAACACGACTTCGATGCCAATAGCCTTCTCAGATTTCATCGCCATTGTTGCTTTTTTTGGACTGTTCGTCTTTTGCTATTCGATGTGTTTGCATTTTGAGAGGCGCTTAAATCAAAAATACATAGAGAATAAGAGAGAGGATGACAGTACGGTTGGTGAATGAGGAAGATGAAAAGCATGTTTCGTTGTTTAGATTTTTTTTACTCTATAGAAGCTGGTATGATGTGGCAAAATAACTCTTTTTCATTGATTAATTATTTAATCTGATGTGGCTTCATGAGAGGGAATGATTAAGCCCTTTTAATATAGTATAGATTTCTTCCGGTTCATATGAGTCATGGGAAGATCCAAGTGTTTTGTAACACTAATACATAATTTTAATTTAGTTTTTGTTTAGTTCTTAAGAAATTATTGATTGCTTCATTGAGTTTATATTAGTTTATTTTTGCTTCATTAAAATCTGTTCAGTATTTTGTCGCCAAACATAAATATGTCTAGTTTAATTCACACTTAAATAATTTAACAGTTTTTAGGCGAAACTGCTATGAAGCCGGTTTGTTTTTGTAAGTGAGTATTTTATTGATGCTTACAAAGTGTAAAAAATCAACTTTAAGTAAGTTTGATTGTTTCTTTATTGTGTGAGAAAATGCTGTATTTCATCAGCTGTTGAAAATTTGGGTAATACCCATGTCGCCATGTTCTAATGTTCATGTGGTTCTTTGCAGTTATGGTAGTACATTGCTATGTATCGGGTTCTTAGATAACATATGAGGGGTTTCACAGTTTGAGGATTTATCTTGAATCTAGAAGGTGTCTTGTTAATTTTAACATGTTCAACTTGTGTACTTTCTTAGACAGACTCTTGGGTCTTACTAAGCAGATGCTTTAATAATAAACACACATTTTTATTTCCATATAAACCGTTTAGTCATTGCAATCATAACTTTATAGAGAGCTCAATTCTTTGACAAGTCTTTCTAATTCTATAGTAGAGCTTCCTCTTGCTTCTGTCGCAGCTCGTGCCTTCTGTCCCATCTCCTTGGCCCGAGCACGTACCTCACGTCCTTGCTCACCCATTGTTTCAGCTAAGACCCAACCTAACTCATGTGGGTTCGGCACAGTCTTACCCCCTTCACAGACACTAACAGCTACACCCATATACTCCACAAGCAACTTGGCATCCACAAACTGGTCTGCTTCCATAGGCCAAGTCAAGATCATGGTTCCACTAGCCATCGCTTCCAGCACTGAATTCCATCCACAATGGCTCAAAAACCCACCAACCGCCACGTGACTCAACACACCCACCTGAGGAGCCCACCCTCTAACAATCATTCCTCGACCAGAGACCCGATCCTCAAACCCATTGGGGATCGGGTCTGTCTTAGCCACCCAAACGAACTGGGTCATGCTCTTTTCAAGACCAAGAGCCAAAGCATCACATTGCTCTTTACTCAACACTTTTTGACTTCCAAAGCAGATGTATAGAACGGATCCATCTGGACATCCGTCAAGCCAACTCAACAAGGCCTTCACGTCTACACTGAGTTCTGAATTCCCCTTACCTAAACCGATTGAAGAAACCGGACCAACACCAAAAACACGATTATGACCAACTTTCAGCTTCAGATACTCCATGTACTCCTCTTCTAGACAGTTGCAAGAATTGAATATACAACCATGGCTAGAGAAGTTCATGGTCATGTCTCTAACGTTATTGACATCTTGCGACAACGGAGATTGTGGGGTTAACGGAAGATGTTCTGTCTTAAAAACAGGGGAACGGGGAAGATCTAAGATACAGACAGGCTCAGTTTGGTCATAGAGATGATCACGCTTGTCGGAGACATAATGTATAAGGGAGGCAAAGAAGGCTCCAGAACTGAAGAAAGCAAAGCGAGGAACACCGAGATCGTTGGTCCATCCAAGGAAGAAGTCAGAGATGAGAGCAACGGGAGGATTTGGATGAGAACTTAACCACTTGATGATAGGCTCTCGAAGCTGACGAAGAGAAGCCATAACATGAGGAGTACAACTAAGGTCTCTGACGTTCTCAGCGCCGGAAGGACTGTGAGGGAGAGGTAGAGTGACAGCGGAGACGGCGGATGGATGAGCGGAGAGAAGAGGGGAGAGGTGAGGAAGGTTTTTAGGTGTGACGATGATTGAGACTGTGATGTCCCCACGAAGACAGAGTTGATGGGTTAAGTCGAGAAGAGGACGTAAGTGGCCTTGTGCTGGATATGGAAACACCATGATGTGCTGTTTTGAACCGTTGCGTTTTGAGTCATGCGGTGGTGTCGGCGACTGCGAGTGCATTACTTCGGTCATTTACAAGGTTGATGTTTTCAGGTTTAGTTGTGATCTGTGAAGTGATCGTTACGTTCATTAGCACTTTATATGTCTGTTCCCAGGGTTTTGGAAAGCATAAGGTGAGTGGAAAATATTTTAGACCTGTGTGAAAATATGCTTCTTAAATTAAATTCATATGTATTTTGTAAAAAGAAATTAAAATTTAAAGGTGGTAAATTATTTTTTGTCAATATTTAAATAGATCTCTAAACGTTAAATGGATTTTTCAATTCAAAAAATTGCAGTAACAATACTTATTTGAAAACATAATGTACTGAATGAAAATTAGAGAAAAAATGTCTACTTTATTAATATAGAAATTCGCATGGATTTACTTTTGATTTCTATTCAAAAAGCCTCGTACGAAATAAGTTGTACAGTTAGACTTCCTTTGACTAATTTCTAATGTGGGACTTGTTTGATATCTCATATTCTTTCCTTTAAACTAAGGACCACACTCATCTCGTGTGGTTTTTTTAGCGAATCATTTTGGCACCACCTTATAACAGTTATTGTAGGGTTTCCTTTGAGAATGTTGTTTCTCCCATAACATCACGGATTCTATGATCTTCTGACTAGTTTGCCATAGACCTCCTCTTCCAACTTGAAGGGTCCCATTCCTACTTGAAGGGTATTTTAGTCCTTTTACAGATTTTTGTCAAACCGCTTTGATAACAATTGTTGAGATTGTGTAGTCTATATTGTCTGATTAGTACAATATTGTCCACTTTGGTCTTAATAGGCAAAGCCCATATGAATTTAGTTTTGATTTCTTTTCCAAAAGACCTCACATAATTAAACTTCTTATATTAGACACTTCTAGTCTAAATTTCTAATGTATGATGTTGTTTGAATTCTCAAATTCTCACCTTCAATTGTAAGGATTCATCCTTGACAATGTGCTTTACTCTTCGAATGACTTTGAACCAAAACGTATTATTTTAATTGTTTAGAAACTGAAACAAAACTTGTATTGATAACACTTTAACAAAAGATTCTACTTCTAAGAATTATATCTCTTGCTCAGTGTGTTTCTCGTAATGACTATCAGTAACCTAAGGTCCTATTTATAACCCTATGATTTTCCTATCTTCAACAGAACTATGACAAAAAATTTCCTTTTTGCGTTAGGCTTCGTATCCATTTTGACCGACTTTCTTTATGTCTGCAGGTTTCAAGGAGTTGGTAAGACCCATTAGTTCAACAAACTCTACCTTGGACCTTAATTATTTTAGCTTTTTTTCTTTCTCTTTTTCGATACCACCAAGGACGTCTCAAGCTCACCTTCTTCCATGGATGAGGATGCTTGCGATGATGGTGGTTTGAAGCAATGATGACCTTAATCGAACAGATCCTTTGTCAAGTGTCTTCAACCTTTCACTCTGCCTCGCCTTTTGAAGAGTTTCGACTCATTTCCATCATATCTAAATCTCGTGAACCAGCCACCGTTGTTTCTTTGATGGTGTCTCTTACTCCGACCCTTGTTCATCATGAAAAGAGATCGCGACTCCTCCTTTCTTCAAGAATCGTCGAAGATGAGAGAAAACCTCCCCGAAAATCTGCAGTCCATTTTTTTGGAAAGTATTCTTTATTTCTTCACTTGAGCTGTAATCTCATTAATCTCCTGCCTTCATCATGTTTTGATAGTAAAATCCCTTTGGTAACTTTGCAATGTTTTCGATCTTCTTTCAGCTTTTACGGCAGACCTGTATACGCCTCCTCCAGTATATAAATGAACCGTGTCTCCCTTCAGCTATGTACTTGGATATTTAGGACATTTCCCATGTCGTTAATTTTATCTAGTGATCCTTTGAGTTTCCTTGTTACCGCTTGAGGTGCTCGTTTCCCTTCAGATTTTCTCTATCGTTAAGTCATTTTCTCAGCCTGTTGTTGCCTTATTTCAGTTAGTTATTCCTTTCGAGAACCTGTTTTTGTCTTTCTCAGCTACTCCACCTTGAGCTGAGTCCTCCTTGCCTTAAAACTCCTTGCCTTAAGAAGTTCACAACAGAGATCAAACTTTTGCCCTGGAAGGCATTAGTTAGAAAATCTGGTGGGTTCTTGCTAGTGTGAATTATAGATAGAGTAACACTACCATCTTCGACTACATCTCTGATGAAATGATACTTAGTGTCAACATGCTTAGTTCATTTGTGATGAACATGATTATTTGCTAGGGCTATAGAGCTTTGTGAATCACAGTTTAGCTTGACATTTTCTTGATCAAAACCTAGTTCCTTGCATAGTCTTCTTAGTCATAAAGCTTCTTTTGCAGCCGCGGTTAAGGCCATGTACTCTGCTTCTGTTGTTGAAAGAGCTACTACGTCTTGTAATCCTGATTTTCAGCTAACCGTATTTCCCCAAACTTGAAATACATATCCGGTAACAGACCTTCTTCTGTCAAGGTCTGTAGCGTAACCAGAGTCACAAAACCCTTCAATACTAAATTTTAATCCTTTAGTAAATCTAAGCTACCTTCCTGTAACTCTTGTTAGGCACCTTAAAACCCACTTAGCAGATTCCCACTGTTCTCTTCCGGGTTCAGACATCTGGCTTATTAATCCAACTGCAAAACTGAGATCAGGTCAAGAACCGACCATTGCGTACATAATACTTCCTACTGCACTTGCATAGGGAATTTATTCCATGTACTCTCTTTCTAATTCCTTTTGCTCTGGTATGAGGCTCTTAGTTTGAACTGATATGAAGTTGGTGTTACTACAGCTTTAGCTTCCGTCATGCCAAACGCTTCCACAACGTTCTTGTAAGTAACCTTCTTGTGATAATATTAGGTTTCCCTTGGTTCTATCTCTGATGATATCAATTCCTAATATTCTTGAGGCCTTTCCCAAGTCTTTCTTCATGAACTCCTTGCTCAAACTCTCTTTTATTTTTCTGATCTCTTGATGATCTCCTGCGGCTATGAGCATATCGTCAACGTATAGGAGTAAGAACACAGCTTGTGGCGTGTTAACATTCTTCAAGTATACGAATGGGTCTTCTTTTCTTCTTACAAATTGTTGAATCTTCATAAAACAATCAAAATATGGTTCCATCGCCTTGGAGATTGCTTAAGCCCATATAAAGTCTTCTTTAGTAAGCATATTTTGTTTTCATCTCCCTTTTTAATAAAGCCCTCAGGTTGCATCATAAGAATTTTTTCTTCTAGGTCCCCGTGTAAGAATGTCGTCTTAACGTCTATTTGGTCGAGCTCGTAGTCATTGTTAACCACGATTGAGAACATATGTGAATTAATACGTGTTTCACCACCGGAGAAAAAACTTCTTTGTAATCAATCCCTTGCTTTTGTGAGAAACATTGAGCCACCAATATCACTTTATATCTCGGTTCTTCAACTCCTGGTATCCGGGGTTTTAACTTGAAAATCCACTTGCACCTTACAATTTTTGCATTCTCAGGTTTCTCAATCAAGATCCATGTATGATTCTGTTGGAGTGAATCCATTTCTTCAGCTCCCATTCTTCCATTGCTTTCCTTTCTTACTTGCCATGGATTTGGTAAAGGTCTTAGGCTCCTATTTCTAGCTCATATTCTGCTGCCAATGCATATGCTATGAAATCTGTGTCTTCGAATCTTGATGGTGGTTTTATTTTCTTTCTCACTCAGTCTCTTGCCAGCATGTAATCATCAATTGTTGTTTCTAGTTCTGAAACAGTTTCTTGTTCGTCTCCTGACATGTTTTCTTCCAAGCTATTAGACATTTCTGGTAAGATAGATGCTCCACCTGGAGATGATATCTCTTCGTCGCTTGCTTTTGATGGAGTTGGCCCTTCTATCATATTTTCTTTAAACGTCACTTGCCTTGATCTTTTTTCCTTTGTGTTTGCTTTCATACTTTCTACTTTGCTGCCTTTCCTAGAATCTTTTATCGTGTGTTTGTAGAGTTCTTCTTCATTGAACACTACATTCCTACTAGTGTCACACTTACCAGTTTCTGGTATCCACACACGATAGCCTCTAGTTCCGAACGAATATCCCATAAAAACTCCTTTTATGACCCTTGGACTTGTATATTCCTGAACCTTATGAACGTACGCGGAACACCCAAACGTTTTGAGGTTGCTTAAGTCACATTTTGTCCAGACCCTCGTTTCTCCGGTATTTCATAATCAATCGAGAAGTTTGGAGATCGATTTATCACATAAGTGGCCGTTGAAGCAGCTTTGGTCTAAAATTCTTGCACTAACCATGTCTTCATGAGCATACAACGAACTTTGTCCATGATTGTCCTGTTCATCCTTTCTGAAATTCTGTTATGTCGTGGAGTATACGGACAAGTCTTGTGTCTCTTGATGCCTGAGTCTTTGTATAGTTTGTCAAACTGCTGATCGCGACCGTTGTCCGTTCGTAGACATTTTATTTTCTTGTTCTTCTGGTTTTCTACTGCGTCCTTCCACTCCTTGAATTTTCTGAATACTTCATCTTTTGTTTTAAGAAAATAAATCCAGCCTTTCCAAGAATAGTCATCGATGAACCTTATTAAGTACTTACTTTCAGCAAGGTTTTCTAGGGTCGACAGAGCTCCTCATAAACCTGAATGTATGTACTCGAGAATGCCCTTAGTGATATGTTTTGTTGCCGGAAAGCTTTGTTTGTAAGATTTTCCCAGGACATGTCTCACAAAACTCAAGCTTGTCCAGTTCCTTCTTCGGTACGTATCCCTTTTCTACGAGAACATTCAGATTCTTCACACTCATATGACACAATCTAGAATGCCATATAGCTGTTTTATCTACTTCTGCCTTTGACACATTAGCTTCTCCCTTTGCCACCGTTCCTTGTAGATAGTATACGCCTTCGTTGAATTTTCCTTATGTGATCTTCTTGCCGTATTTGTAGAAATTGATTATAAAATCTTTCCCTTCATATTGGCATCCTGATATTTCGAGCATCCCGTAAGATATCAAGTTTTGGCTCATATTCGGCAGTATCTTACATCCGTGAGTACCACCATGGTTCTA